TTCCTGCTGAGGTATTGAAGAAAGGGTCAGGGAAAAATGTGGCACTATCGACAATAACAACATCATGAAGGTCCTTTCATGGGACTAGCCATAATTTTTCCTGTTATCTTTAGCTAGATTGAGGCCAAGAAAGATTTTGTGCTCAAAATCTTTACCTCACTAGCTTCATTTTCATTGTATCTTTCTTGTTTTCCTTTAACTTTATTCCGTGTTTCAGAAAGTATAATGTGAATCAAATAATGCAATGCTTCTGTCTCTTTTTTGTCCTCCCAATACTTTCGTTTTTTATCTAATCATATGTGTCATGTGCTCAAAGCAAAGATTCTATTTCTAAAAGAAAATCAAACATGCAAGCACTTGTACATGTAGCTGTGAAAATGGTTCGATTTGTTTGTAATTCACCAGCGAGCGTTGAGCTTTTCACCCGCAAGAGAGAGGGTGTTGGTCATTGATATGTTAATCTATGTTTATTTATATGGATTAAGCTTAACTAATGACATGCAATTCATAAAATTAAAAAATAAAAATTATAATTATCCACTAATTTTATTGTATGTAAAAATTGAAGACCACAAGAGTTAGTTTAATAGTTGAAGGAAGAGGTTAAAGTAGAAGTGAGAGGAGATCAAGTTCAACCCTCATCTCATCTTTGTAATTTTTTTTTTGTTACAGCACAAAAGATTTTTGCACATATATTAAAAACAAAATTGATTTTGAGGATGAATTTCAATTCAATTTTGTAACTTAATTTGAATTCCTGATGGAATATATGAATTTGAAATTTGAATTATTTTTATTTAAATTTCTTTCATTTTATAATTACTTTGATGTAATTCAAATTTGAATTGTTTTCATTTAAATTTATTCTATTTTATAATTGTTTTGATATGATAAGTTAATTTAAATTTTAAAAAATTTAAATACTTAATATAAACAAGACAAAATGATTTTCAATGCATGCAAAATTTATTTTTTTAATATATTTTTAAAATTTTAAATTTTTAATATTAAATTTTACTTAAAAAAATAGTTAAATTTTTAAATATTTAATAATTCAAAAATTAGCAATATTGATAGATAAGAGGAAGAAGAAAAAGAGACAAGGGCGAGAGATGAAAAGAGAAAGAGGAGAAGAAAATGAGAGAGAATTGAAAAAAAAAAAATAAGGAAAAATAGAGGGAAAAGAAAAGAGAGAGAAGATAAATAAATAATAAAGTCACACAAAATCTCTGACATTTTAAAGAAATTGTACATGAGTATAATATGTGCAAATTCTACTAAAATAATCTTACAAAAATAATATTTCATTAAAACTTGTGTGTTTTTTAATGCTCGGATAGTTTGTGTAACTGGAACAAAATGTTTACCAAATATCATGTTTAAATTCAGAGAGATAACCGCTATGATAGAATTGTCTCTAAAAACAGGATACATATTGGGGTGGGGGGGGGGGATTCTACACATTAAAACATCCATTAAATTTGTTTAATTTGCCTTGATCAGATGCAATATTAATTTAGCTGATCTTTTCCCATCTTGTGGCTATATTTCTTCGAGCTTTACTAGCAAGTTGTAGAGAGAACATTAATTGTATACTGAATGATTTGATCCTATATATATTCCGCATAATTTATATGCCAAATGTTTGAGGAATTTTTTGGGTACAAAATATTCTAGGATTTGACAATATAATAGATTCAAACAGCACTAAATATTTCCAAATCAATCATAAAGTAAAAGGATAAATTACACGAAGAGATTCTTTACGAAAATTGCTCAAACTGATGTGTCAAGATCTTAGTAGAAACAAACAATATTAATAACTTATACAAAATAAGTTATTGTCAATAAGAATTCAATTGCTTAAATGATTAAATCACTACTTACAGTAATTTTATCTAAGTATGCTGGTACCATATAAAACTGCCTAATTATAAATATGCCATGCATGAGATCATTGTGTAAAAGTATTTATGTGCCAAATGTTGGAGAATATATTGTTTTGGTACGAAATATTATAGGATTTGACAATGTGGTTTTTGTGTCAGCAATTCCATGATAGATACAAAGCAGGCAGCGGTACATGTACAACGATGAGAATCAAATTCAGATTCAGATTCAGATTCAGATTCCATCCAACTTAATTCTGTCACAGAGATTCCCTTCCTAAGCAGCACGTGAAGTGAGGCCCCTACAGCTCACAGGAAGCAAGACAAATACTACTGAATATATAAATAAGATAAATGAATAGTTACATAAATATATAGTTATGATGCACATCTTTTATTAAAAAAATATATAAATTAAAGTTACATAAATATTTAGTCATAAATTTTGAATTATTTATATTTCAGTTACCCATTTCACAAATATGAATATATACAGAATTTAATAAATAAAGTATTAGAAGAAGCATTTTGTTTTTGCCAAGAAACCTCTCTTAATAACTCTTGCACTCAATTAGCCTTAGCCTTGTATTTTATTCTCTCTTACAGTAAAATCCTCCCTTCAAAATCCAACAAATTAAAAACCTGGAGTGTGGTTTCAATTAGCTAGCCATGCATGCATTTTGGAAAGAAAAAAAAGCTTCTCACAAGTTGAATTGTACTTTTTCCACTTCATGTTGGGGTGTTAGCTTGCTTTTCCAATGTTCATGGTTTGTAGGTCATAACATAAAATTGCATAGCCGAACGTCATTTCCACTTTCCCTGTTTACTGTTTAGGGTTGCATGTGTTCCTCTATTTCTCTCTCTTGGTAATTAAGTGGTCTTTTTGTTGTTTCCCTGTCATCACCCAACTTGTTTTGTTCCATTGCAAGTCGGCAAATCAAGACATTTTTCATACACAAACAAGTTAGGGATAGGTGCATCTCACAATATAGCATTTACTATCTTCTATAATCTTTGACCGACAAGATACTAGATAAATAGATTTCTTAAACATGCTGGTAGAAGTTTGATTATTTGGTAATGTATACAGAAAAGACTTTATTGAAAGAGATAAAACTAAATTAGTAATTTCTATACTTCAAAAGGAATTAACCTAATTATCGATAGGAAGATATCTTTAGTACATATATAGCGGACATAAAAAATATAAATATAAATAAAATCTCTGGTCTTTGCTTAAATGTTGCCAAGGACTTCTTTTGTCCACCTCAAATTAAAGTAGCAATGGAAAAAATATATATATACAAACAGTGGATCGTGAATTATATACAAACATTATTGTGTGCGGCAATTCCATTGTGTCTCCGAGAATCAAAATCCATTACATTCTCCCTTGCAATGTTCGTACACACATAATATCTTATCTAACTACTACACAACATGAGGAAGAAAAACTATAATCAGAATCTTTAGCACAAGTGGTAGGATAGATTTTGCTACTTTGTACCCCAAATGGGTGGAGGATTGGGATTTAAAATTTCAATTTAATAGGTGCTACTTCCTATTTCCTAAGGTATGAGATACACTAGTATTTGCCGTCCAATTAAGTTAGGTTCACACACCCCAACACCCCTATCATCTCCAACTTATTGGCTTAGTGGCTGGTAGGCCCAACCCTCCATGCTAGCTACCTTATCAAATCTGCTAACTTCTCTATCACCATTTGGAGTAGTCTGCAAAAATATCAACTTTCAAATTAGATAAAAACGATCAAGTTAGGAAAGATCTCAAACCTAATGCATTATAGTGTGTTTGAATAAAAAATTTTAAAAATTTAAAAGAATTTTAATTACATTAATTTTAATTTTTTATCAATTATTTATTTAGACAAATTAATTCACATTTATTAAATTTTACATTTTTAGTTTGAATTAGACAATTAAATTTTCTTTACGAGTAAAATTGATTTTAAACGCGCGCGCATATATATATATATATATATATATATTGAAATTTTAAAATTAAATTTTAAATATTAGCTTATTTTAAATATTAATTTTTAAAACTTAATATTATATCATATTTAATAATTTTAAATATTTAATAATTAAAAAAAACTATTGTTGAAGGAGTGGGGGTAGGATAAAAAAATAAAAAAGAAAGAATTTTAAATTCTTATTTTTTTTTTTGCAAGAATTTAAAATTTTATAATTTTAAGAAATTTCACAAATACTTAAACTTTAAATTTTTTATAAATTTTCTATTCAAACAAAGTATTTCATTCCAAAACATTTAAAATTTTAAAAAAAAATTAAATTATTCTATTAAAATTTTTCAATCCAAAGACACTCTTATGAATTCGAGTTAAAATGTTAAATTCACTTAATTTCTTGTAATTTTTTTACATAAAAAAAAAAAAATCAGTTATGCAATCAAAATGTAAAATAATTTATTGTCATTCACTCATAACATAAAGAAAGTAGAATCAATTAGTAATCAAGTGACAACATAACTAGTAAAAATGAACTTCTTAGTTCTTACAGATTACTATCATAATGTTTAATTAAAACTATAATCACGTTGGCTATTAGTTAACTAATCGTTTTAAATATTAAATATGTATACATACATAATTCAATTTTCAAGAATTGTTAAATAATAAAAAATATATATATATTTTAGTCCCTTCTTGAACTTTTGAAATTCTGTTAGTTTTCTTGAATTTCAATTCAACGTGATAGACCAGGAATAAAAAAAATGTTGATGAATGAGTGTGATGCTTCAATACTAAAGTAGAATTGGGTACACGTTACTTAATTGGACACGAAGGAGTGATAAATTAAGATGGATTGCGATTTTATATATGTTGTTTGGAGTTTGGAGGAGACACTAGCATAAGATATGCATCATAATATTATCATTATTGTACAAAATTAAAGCGTGAATGCCCCCCAGACAGAAAGAAATTGGACGCTACCTACTTTCTTGCTAAAGAAATCGCACCTTTTTGACCGAAATAAAGACTAGTATACTTTTAATGAGCTAATCAAAATACCTAATCACGAACATTTCTTTTTGCATGAGCAATCCGATAAGTTATGCCAGAAACGAAAAATAACATTATTGAGCGTGTGTTTCTGTATTACGTTATTTGTCATAAAGTTTATGTTTTGCTCTGAAAAGTTAAATCACATCACATCACACATTTTACGGGTTTAATTAAATTTTTAATTGCATCAAAAAGCTCTAATATCAATATTTTTTTCTTTTTCCTACTTTATATTATTTTGTTACATAATGCATAAGCTTTAATTTAGTGCACCAAAAATATATATATGCTTTTTTTCAGTGGCAAAGCCACGTTCAAATGAATATCGACATCTACTCTTTTAAGCTAAGCCTTTACTAATTATTTGACATGATTGTACGGCAACAAAAGTATTACATACTTGATATAGTATATAGTCGTCATCTAGTTAAGCCAATACATTTTTACATTTAACCTTACTGGTTCCAAAAGCACAAGTTCAATATCACATTCACATTAATATATACTTACACGTACACTTCTGAAAAAGACAGAGAATTAAATAAAAACATAAATAGTTTAAATTTTCAAAAGTTTATCACGTCCACTTTTAAAGTGTCATTTTAAAGAAACAATAACTTTTAAAAAGTAGTTAGATCGATTTGAAAGAAAACAAACCCTTGCATTTAATATTTACCCCATGCACAAAATCCGGTCATATAAGAACAAATTTTATGTTGAACCAAAAAAAAAAAAAAAAAAAAAAAAAA